GCTTTCCAAAAAGCGTGTGCCTCGCTGTCCTGCCCTGTTAGCTCTTGGGCGGTGGCCAGAGCCGAACTCCGAGGGGACAGCTCCGAGATGTGCTTGAACAGCCCTACCACAGGGTATCATGCGGTCATCAGGGAAGGATGAACTTCTGAGCCGAGCTACAACATGTGTGAACACTGAAGGACACGCCAAGTGAAAGACACCAGGCAGGGAAGAGAATCCCCCGCTAGACCAGGGATCTGGGGCAGGCGGAAAGTTAATTTAAAGGGAGCAGAGACTGGGGCAGAGTTGCTGCTAAACAAACAGGTCAGAGAATGGGTGGTGGAAATATTTCAAAAATAGATGGTGGTGCCCATTACAGGGCATTGGGGTTGTTCTCAGCAACACTGCAACAGACACTTGAAGCTGGCTAAAACGGCCGATTGTCCATGTCTTTTACCCCAGTCGTATGGTGAGCCAATAGGACAAGATGGAACTGTCTCTGTGAGTTTCTGAGACTGTAACTCTTCACAGGAGGAGAAAGCCTCCTCTCTCTCCTGAGGAGCAGCTGGTGGTTTCAAATTGCTGACCTTGCAGGCAGCCCAACACATACTGCTGTGAGTTGGAATCGACTCAACCGCAATAAGCTTAGGGTTTGGGTGGTTTTGTTTTTTTCAGTAACATTTATACATTTGGAAAGAAAAAAAGTGCACAAAATACCCAGGGACAGAGGGGTCCACAGGATGAATGCTGGAGACTCCAGTGGACAGGCACTCTTACTCCCCTCCCCCCAGGGCATAGAACACCCCCCCACACCCCACCCGCTCCACATGGGTATGGCCGCACAACTTATCAGCTCCAGTGGGGGAACAACCCCTCTCTCCCCACACCCTTAATACATCCATCATCTGGGTGTGAAGGCTCATTTGTGGGGCGCACACCCACACACACCCAGTCTCCCATTGGTGCAGCACTACCTACCCCATGCCTAGGGTACCCTGTAGCTCCCACCCCACCCTCAGTGCCCCTCCCCAGGCCCAGCACCCCAGGGCCTGCCTCCTGCAGCACCATACCTTGGCCAGGGATCGCACTATGGGGCTCTCCATAATGCCTCGAAGAAAGAGCAAGTCCAGCTCAGCCGCCCCCGTGGCACTGGGGAGGGATCCCAGGTTGTCCAGGACTTGCTGCATGGCTGGGAGAAAGGGGTAGCCGTGAGACCTACAGGTACCAAGAGGAAACCGCAGGCAGGAGACGCGGACAAGCCACGTGCCCTGCCCCTGCCCCTGCAGAAGATATCCCCTCTAACAGCACGTGCCTCCTTGCCCACCCTGGTAACCCCTGGGTAATGCCAGCCTGGGCAGGTTGGAGGCTCTAAGCAGCTGGAAGTGAACTCTGTAGTGGGGGAGGAGCAAAAGGAAGCAGGTGGCGGGCAGCGCTTCCAGGTTATACCTACAGCCAGAGAAGGGCAAGCCTTAAGCCCAGGACTCAGCCATTGCACCCAGTGGGTGCAAGCGCAGAGTCAAGGAGTGTGTGTGTGGGGTGGGGGGGCAGAGCATGAACGGCATCCTGTGCCATTCATACCACTCAGTGTAACTTCACACAAGTCCCCGGTGCTCACTGGCACCCGCGGTCTGCCCCTTCTGTAGAATGGGTGGGTTGGATTCAATGGCGTCTGCAGGAGCTTCATCACCGGCAGGCAGGTCCGGATGAATCTCCCTGAGCACATAAGGTGGGGGCTGAGGAGTGGAGGCTGAGGCCCAGCGCCCTGATAGGAGCTAAGGGAACAGGCACTCTGGGAGCTGGGGTGATGGTGGACACTCAAGGGCAGAAATCATACTATGTCAGTCCAGGCATCAGCAAACCCCCAAACTGAGCCTGGACTTAAGCTGGGGCAGGACAGTGCCTGAAATGGGGGCCCAGAGTAGGTGATGGGATGCTCCTGGGCCTGCAGTGCCTAAGGGTGGGGGGAGGCCTGGCTGGGGCAGGTCTGGTGGAGGGTGGGGGGCGTGGGGAGTGGGAGGATGAGGAAAGCACAGTGTGCCCAGCTGCGGGCTGAGATGGGCAGGGGCATCATTACGCTGCCACCCTGCCACCCACGCCACATCCGCATAACAGCACCCAAGTCATGGAGGAGGAGGGTGAACATAGTCCCTGGCACCTCTCAGGGTGCCTGTCACTGCTCCACTCCTCCAGGAAGGCCTGGGATGGGGAGGAGGGGCTCCGATCGATCCTGAGCTGCCAGAGAAGGTGTGGGGACTCTGGGAAGCCCACCCTCTTCCTCTCTTCTCCAGAAACAATGCCCAAGCCCTCCCCCCATTCCCCGAAGCCCCACCATCATCACCACCAGGCCAGGACTAAGGACTAGCCAGGGACCTGCAAGGCCCTTAGTGGGGTCTAAAGGTGGACCCAAGAGGCACTAGGTCCACCTCCCCACGTGGCCTTCACACACAAACCCCAGCCTGCGGCCCATGGGAGTCAACCCAGCCGGGGGAGCCGGTCCCTCTAGCCAGGCCAGCTGTTTGGGGGGACCTTACCCCATCCAAGCCCTCAGTCTCCAGGGGCTGCTCCTACAACCCTCTTCAGATGCCCCCAACGCGGCGTCCCCAGCCTCCCGCCCTGCCTTTTCCCTACCTTCCCTCCGGAGTTCCGCTTCCTCAGAGGAGCCCAGGGATATGCCCTCCAAGGAGGTCCCGCTGCCCGGGCTGCCCGCCATGGCTACCCCCCGCATCCCAGGTGTCTGGAGTAGCCGCCGCCCGCCACGCCGCTGTCTGCCGCCTTCCCAGCCAGAGGGGCTGCGCTGGAGAAGGCGGGACTCAGGGAGCATCCTCGGCACCATTGGCCAATAGGAAGGCTCAACCGCCCTGCTCGCCTCGCTGATTGGCCAAAGCACCTACTAGAGCTGACGGGTGGGGTGGAGGGGGCGGTGAAGGGCGGGGGGACGGTTTGGAAAGGAGTACTCATTTTATGGGTGACTAGATTCCCCTCGATTTAGTACTAGTGGGGGTGGAAGAGGGACTGAGGGAAGGAGGGAGGCATGAGACCTCTCAGGACGGGTACAGGGCCCAGATGTGAGAACCCAAGTTAGAGAAGGGATTTGGCCACCCTCCTCTTTTCTGGAAGTTCCTGAACTAATATATCCCTATGCCCCGCTGTCCCCTTGTCCTCTGGTCTCTGCCCCCTCTCCACGCCCTGTAGCCTTGACCACCAGGAGCCCCTCAGCTATCCCAGGGTGCCAACGGAAACCCCAAAGAATGACTCTCAGTTCTCGATCAGCAGACAGCGGGGCCCCACTGTGGCACAGGGCAAATGCCTACAGGCCTCTAATCCCCCCCTGTAGTGCCAGCCCGCCAGCCCAGGGGTGCTGGCACCATTGTAGGCAGGGAGCGGTTCCCATTACCTCTGGTCCCACACCTCAAAGGCCCAGAGCCTGGTCCTGAGCCCCTGTCCTCCTAAAGCTGCTGCCACTGCCACTCATTCTGGGAGGAGTGGTGCCAGGTCGCAGTGCACCCCTGGTTGCCATAGCAGCAGGCAGGAGATTACACTCCAGGACATTAACCCAAGGATGCGAGAGCGATTTAAAGGGACAGCTCCCCCTGAACAAATCAGCCCAGGGCCCCAGCCTAGGTTCAAAGAAAGGACAGAGTATGGTGAAGGGGGAGACAGGTGAGGCTGCAGGGGAGGAGGTGCCAGGGAAAGCTCAAAGTACCCGTCCCATGCAATCATCCACACCTTTCCCCAACCATGTCCAAATCTGAAGGGAAAGGCCCCTCTTCCAACCATTCTAAACCGAGTTCAAGTCTCTGTGCCCGAAGCCTCACCAGGGAGGTTCAAGCGGGTGGGGCAGGAAGGGAGAAAAAGAGGAGCCGATACCCAGGGCTCAAGGAGAAAGAAAAGGTTTTGAAAAGGATGATGGCAACATATGCACAAATGTGCTTGACACCATGGATGTGTGGGTTGGTTGTTATGAGAGCTGTAAGAGCCCCCAATAACATGATTTTTTTTTAAAGGAAGATTCAAGCACCCTCCTCATCCCCATCCTTTCCCTTCCTCCAATATGAAGATACCAAATTGACCCTTGGGAAGGGTGGACAAAGGACCCAGGCTAGCTTCACCTTCTGCAGAGTCGAGGTGAGGCTCCTTGGGGAAGGAGGATGGGGAGGAGGAAGCCAGCCTGCCCTCAGAGACAGAGGGGCAGCTGTCTCCTCCTCAGTCCTGGGGAAGTGGGCTGCAGAGCACCTTAGAGTCAGGGCCAACCCAGAGCGACTCTCTGTACAAACCGAACGAAAGACTGCCCAGTCCTATGCCATCCTCATTGCTACATTTGAACCCCCCCGGTATCAATCCATATCCTTGAGGGGCTTCCTCTTTTCCACTGACCCCCCACCACACACGCCATCCTTCTCCGTTGACCAGCCCTGCCTGAGAACATGACCCAAGTGCTTAAGATGAAATCTAGCCATCCCTGATTCTAGAGAGCATCCGAGTGGTACTTCTTCCAAGGTAAATGTGTTTGTTCTCCTGGCAGCCCATGTATGTTCACTGTTCTTCTTCCGCCCCCGCATCCAAAGGCACCACTTCAGCGCTGGTCTTCCTTGTCCAGGATCTAGCTCTCGCATGCACAGGAGGTGAGTGACAATCCCATGGCTTGGGTCAAGTTCTCCTCAGTCCTCAGAGACATACAGTGAACCCTCGCCACTTCGCGCTTCAACTCCCGCGGCTTCACTCTATCGCAGTTTTTGCGTAACAGCGCATGCTCTGTCATTACTGCCACTGATTGGCTCATACTGTACACGCTTGATGCCATAAATAATATAATAAATAATAAATGATAATTGTAAAATCCAAAATGTTTTACTGTATTTTCCCTTTTTCGTTTAATAAATTGGGTAATACGAGTGTAATGATGACTAAAGGGTGTTTTTTCATGTCCTCTATGCTCTAACTACGAAAATATTTGATTTACAAATAAGGAATCCTACTTCACGGAATTTCATTTATCACGGTAGAGTCTAGAACCAATTAGCCGCGATAAACAAGGGTTCACTGTATTTGCCTTTGAACACTTCAAAGGTCTTCTGCAGCAGATTTGCCCAATCAGATACATTGTTTGATTTCTTAACGGAGTGTTGATGGTGTATCCAAGTAAAACGAAATCAAGGACAACCTCAGTATTTTCTCTGTTTATCGTGATGTGGCTGATTGGTCCAGTCGTGAGGATCTTTATGTCGAGGTGTGATCCGTACTGACGGCTGCAGCATCAGCAAGTGCTTCAAGACCTCTTCACGTTCAGCAAGCGAGGTTGTACCATCTGCGCATGGACCACATTCATCTTCCTGAAGTCTGCTGCTCCGATTACTTGCTCCGTATACAGATTGAAGAAAGACGATGATAGGCAACAAGCCTGATCCACACTTTTGCTTCTTCTTTTAAACCACACAGCCTCCCCAGGATCTATTGGTCTCTGAAAGAGGTTCTGCAGGAGCACCACAGAGTGTTCTGGAATCCCCGTTCTTGGCCATGGTGCAGACTCTGGACACGCCCTCCTTCTTCCCGTGGTGCTTGCTGCATCGTTCAGTATCCTGCCCTTAGTCATTCAATATTGCAACTCAAGCCTGGAACTCTTCCTTCCACTCTTCAGCTTGGAGCCCACCGAGGACGTGCTTCCCTGCTGGTTTTCTGACTCCAGTCACTGCACATTTCCCGATCATTCTGGACTCCCCAAGGCAGCTTTTGAAATAGTCCTTCACAGCTCGCGGGCATGTGAAAGTCAGACAGCGCCTGAGGGAGAGCAGAGGATTGTGGGTGCAGTGGAGGGACCGTGTTGGTGAAGAATCCTGAAAGTACCTTGGACTGCCGGGAGAACAAACAAATCTTTCTCAGAAGAAGTACAGTCAGTGAGGAGGAGGATGGCAACAAATGTGCACATGTGCTCGACACGATGGATGGATTGATGGATTGTGATAAGAGTACAAGCCCCCAATAAATGATTTTTTTAAAAGTGTAGTCAGAATGCTCCTTACAAGAGAGGATGATGAAACTTCATCGCAGGTACTTTGGACCTGTTTGGCTCAGTCCCTGGAGAAGGACATCATGCTTGGTAGAGGAGCGAGCCGGGGAAAAGAGAAGATTCCCCAAGGAGATAGATTGGCATGAGGGCTGCAAGATTGTGCTGGGCAGAGTAAGAATGATGGGGCGGAGCAGGACTAGGCAGTGGTTTCATACGGTTGTCCTGCACAGAAGGTCACTAGGAGCTGGAGCCGACCCAAGGGCACCTCACAGCCGCAGCCATGGCCACGGCCGTGGCCACGGGCACAGTGTGCAAGAGTAAGTTTCAGGATCTCTCCTGACAGCCAGGTTGGTCTTTTTTTATTTCGCACCAATGACCACCGTAAGACAAGGGGGGGAGCCTGCCCTGACACTGCAGAAATGGGAGCCCATCTGGCCCACGGGTGGGGGGCAGAGCTGCCTGAGGGGAGAAGGGCATCTATAGCCTAGGCATCGGGAGCCTTGAGACCAGTGGTTCTCCACCTTCCTCATGCTGAGACCCTTTCACACAGGTCCTCATGGGGCCGTGACCCCCAACCATCACATTATTTTTGTTGCTACTTCATCCCTGTCATGTTGCTACTGTGATGAATCGGGCGACCCCTGTGAAAGGGCCCTTCGACTCCCAAAGGGTCACAACCCACAGGTTGAGAAGCACTGCTCTAGATATTCTCTGCACCCAGGGGTGCAGGCAGAGGTAACAGACTCCACCCTCTTAGGCTCAGCTGCCTGCCTTGCCCAGGGTGCCATGCCCCAGGAAGTGACCTGCAGCTGGAAGTTGAAATACTGGGCCTGCCCCTTCCCCCACACCTCTGTCCCAAAACCCACCCCCCTACCAGGAGTGGACTGCGACTCCCAGTGACCCTGTAAGACAGTGTAGAGCTGTCCCCATAGGGCGTTTAAGGCAGTACATTTTTATGGAAGCAGTCTGCCACATCTTTCTCCCAAGGAGCAGTTGGGGGCACAGGGTGGGGCGGGACCAGGAACGGAACTGCTGACCTTTGGGTTAGCAGTCAAGCCCTTTTCATGACAAGGCTCCTAAAGACCCTTAGGGGTACCATTAATGGGTTTAGGATTAAGGAGCTGTTAATCACAGGCTGAGGGGTGAGTTTAATTAACCCCTAAGCAGCTTATGGTAGGTCCCAGGCAGGCTGGGGCAGGGGGGCATGGAGCCCAGGAGCCCTGGGAGTTGCGGGGGCTGGACTGGAGGTGGATGCACTGAGCTCTGTGCAGCTACAGAACTGGGCAACCTGGGTACCCTCCCTCCACGGCAGGGAGGAGAAGCCTCCGCAGGAGGCCAAGGGCATCCCTCACAGCCACCTTCCTGTTCTGCATTCAGGTTCTCAGAGGAGCTAGGCTGTCATTCTAATCCAGGGCAGGGGCCAGAACTTCTTACAGGGGCAGCAGCAGGGCCTAGGGCTATGGGGGGAGGAGGCATCCAGTCAGAGGGCTTCAGATCCATCACAACCAAGCCCTGGCAGGCTACCCTTTGGGAGCCTCCGACCCAGGGTGCCAAGTCTGAGTGGATCCCAGGATGCACCAGAAGGGGGTCCATGACTTCCCCCCTGAAGTAGAATGCAGCTGGCAGTGCCCAGAATCACTTGTCTCTGATGAGAGCCCATTGCTGTCATCAGATTTCTCAAGGAGCTTCAGGGCCCATGAAGGGTAAGACGGCTCTAAGTGGCTGACAGCTAGGTCACAGAGGAGCACCACCAGTTGCCGGGCTGGAACAGCAGGGTTGTGCGAATACTCCAAGCTCTATGCCTGGGCCTTGGCATCTCAAATCAACCTGCTGAGGCTAGTATCCCTTCTGACTGAAGGGGAATACAGGCTCAGAAAGATTCCCCAGATGGTACCTCCCTTGTCTGGGTCACCCACAGCCCACCCCGTCCTAGAAGCACTCACCGGGCTTCCTATGAAGACTTCTGTTTTACACACACACACACACACACACACACACACACACACACACACACACTCCTGCCCAGCGTCCCCCTCCACGCTTTCAGGCTCTGCCTTCCACCTCCAGCCCTTACTGATCTACCACACTTCTGGGCACTGCCCCCTGGGCTTCTCGGCCCCAGGCTCTGCTGTGTAGTCTCTCCATCCCAAAGGACGGCCCCAAGTCACTGCTCTCCACAGAGGTGACTGGTGCTGTGTCTCCAGCCCCAATCTGGGACAGGTGCAGATCTTAGTCCTCCTCCTCTTCCTCTCCTGTCCCCAGCACAGGACGTCCCGCAGAGGACACGGCCCCCAGAGGCTGCCTGGCTGAGTGGCTCAAGGGGTGGAACAGCGGCGGTGGGCGCTGTTCATTTTGAGGTTTCTCCCCAACACTTTCTTGTGACTTGAGTGAAAATTGACAGAGCAAATCAGTTTTCCATTCAACAGTCTAGACACACGTGTTGGCCATGACATCCATCACCTGCAATCCCCTCGAGGCCACGGCCTGCTCCCTGCTTTCTCCCTGGGCTCCCCGTTCCCAGTACCCTTCCTGCTCTCTTGGTCTGGTCTGATTGTTTGTATCAAGGGCACCTTCCTCGTGGGTGTTGCTCGCTAACAAACCTGTCTACGGTGTGACTGAAAGGGCTTCAAGTCCAGGGTTGAGGGACGCCTAAGGACCACAATCACAAGGGTCCTGGCAGCCTCTCTCAAGCTGATCGTCCAGTGGTTTTTATGATTTTGAGTTTTGTTCTACATCCCTCCCACCCCAACCCCAGCCACACACACACTCTGTCCAGGAACATCTACTGTGATCCTGATCCGAGCAGCCCAGAATGGCAGGCGGGCTCCCTCTAGTCTTTCTGGTCTCAGGCTAGTGGAGGCTGGGGTTTGCGTGGGCCATGAATCCTTGGGGCTAATTGCTTTCCTAAGTTGATACTCAGCAAAGTGGGATGTGAAACACTGCCTTTTTGGACTATGTTATGCAAATTGACTTAGATGTCCAGGAGACTAGGGGGGCTGTTTTTTCTTGCAGGGAGCCCTGGAGGGCCTGTCTACTGCTCGCTACCTTCAAGTCCTAGCCTGGCACCTCTGAATCCCTAGCATAAGCTGGCATCCTCACCCCCTTCTTACCAGACTCAGAGTTGGTGGCAGCGACCGGCATGGTGACTTCAATAAGGCCTTCAAAGTGCCTCTCCTGGAGTGGGAAGAGAGGGGGTTAGAGGGACAAGGGCAAAGCAAAGGGGAAAGGACTAGGAGGGGCTCCCCATCAAAGCCCCGCCCCTCAGGGGCAGCCAACAAGGGAGGGGCTGAGGGCACTGGGGTTAGAGAACAATCCTGGAGGCAAGGCCATAGGCAGGTCTCACTGTGCCCAGTGCTCAGAGGAGACTGAGGATCAGAGAACTTAATTGATTTGCCCAAGGACATAATGCTAATAAAGAGCTACAGTGAAAGCACCGATCTTAGCTCTTATGGCTCTTTTCTTTCCTTCTTTTTTAAAAGCCTTTCTGATTCTCTCTTTCTCTCTCTCTCTCTCTCTCTCTCTCTCCTTGGAAGGGGAGACCAGAATTGGAGACCAGCAGGAAAGACCATGTCTCCAGGTGATAAGTTCCCTGAGAGAAAGAATCCCATTTGCTTTACTGCCCTGTGGATCCCAGGCCCATGCCCAGGCTGCACTGCCAGTGTCTGGCTGGCAGAAATGGCATCCTACCTCCTCAGGTCCTCTCTGGCCCCCTCCTTCTCCTCCCTCCCCTTCGCAACCCCGAGCTGGGGGGAAGGGGCTGGCAGCAGCAGCAGCAGCCAGTTTACAGCCCCAGATCCCAGCCCAGGGCCCCCGAAACTGAGTTTGCTCCCCCATTTTCAGAGAGAGGGAGTACCACCCACCCTCCCGTTGCCTTCCTGGGCATGTGCTGTGGATAAAACCCTAATTCCCAGTAGTCATGACAACAGGAGGCAGTGGCTCACAGCAGGGTGGGGGTGTGGGGAGAGACGGAGAAGCTCGGCAGCAGCTGGCAGTGCCCACTTTAGGGCCCAATGCCTGCTGGGCCCTGGGGATGGGCGTCTCAGCTCCGGCTCCACCTTGGGGAGAGGACCCCAAGCTGACTTCATGAAACTCTCTCTGCTCCCTGCCCT